GTCTCCAGGAGTGGCCCGCACCCCAGACCCGCTGTCCTGAGGTTGCCTGATGAGCAGCAGGGAAGTGGGTGGGACCCTCTTTGGGACTTGGAAAGGACATCCACCCACTGAGGCTGTGCCTGGGCCCCTGCTTCTGTGCCACCAACATGCACAGTCCCATGGCCAGGCCTCGGGGACAGGACACTGCACTGCCAGTGTCTGAACTCTGCTTGTTCATAAACACAGGAGGGGCTCGGCAGTCTGCTGTCTTAGTTTTGCAGTCTTCACAAATTAAATATTTGCCTTCAAAAGCAGCCTCTGTGATAAGCATCAGGATAATATTCTCTTGCCAGTGCGGAAGTTGCCAGCGCTGTGGGTGGTCCGGGTGGGGAGCGCGTTCTACGTGGGAACCTCGGGTGGGAGCTGCTGGCAGAGCTCTGGGCACCGCAAGGCCTCCTGTCCTTCGGGTGTCTCAAACCCAGAGTCCCTGGTGCTGGAGCAACCCTACCTTGCCGTCTTCTGTCTACAGAACGGGGAGTGGCTGCAGGAGCAGGACTGGCCCCATCAGGGGCACCCTGTGTGTAGCCCTCCAGGCAAGGTGTCTGGCCAGATCTCTCCAACGTGGGCTGGATTCAGAGGAGTCCTTCTCAGTGGAAGAGCTGCCTAAGAATCTCACAGTGGGAAATCACTTACAAATATATGTGTACAGTGGTTTGTGCTATCCACAAACCCCAGCTGGCCCCGTCATGCCTGCTATCTCGGTCACATTGCTCCGAGAGTGGCTGCCCATGGCCAGCTCCCAGGGTATCTCTGACACACTTTCCTCACAGGGGCGGGAGGTTTTAGCAACGGCCATCTCCTGCCAGGGAGCCCAGAGAACACCCTGCACCCCTGCAGGTGGGGTAAAGGCTACAAGGTCACCTCAAGGGTGTTAGGCAGTTTGGAGATGGAAGCATGTGTCTCAAGTCAAGGTCTCTGAAGTTTTTCTCAGAAACAGTCCCTGTTGTGTGTTCACTGCCCAAAGGGCAGATGTGGGTGGACAGGGACTCTCCACACTGCTAATTCCTCCTGCTGCCTGTCCTGACCTCCAGAACAAGCACCATGTATTCCACACATTGATGGCTGATACTCAAGGTGCAGCCACTGGTGAGGTGAGGTGTGGCCAGGTGTGGGTAAGCTGTGGCACGGCATGGTGTGGGTATCGACTACCTCGGATGACACTGGCTGTAGGCAGGCCTGGCTGAACTTCAGGCCTGTGCACCATTTGCTCCTAGGCTCCTCCTGTGGCCCCTGGTCCCACTGCAGTCTTCCCTCTGTCCTTCTACTCTGGCCATCGACTTGGTGCCAGCACAGGGGCATCTCAAGCTCCCTGCTCAGGGCCCCGCTCTTGCGTCCCTTGGTCCACTCCCTGCCTCTGCTGAGGGGTTTACCCACATCGTGTCCCTCGGGGGCCCTCCTGCCCCCCGCTTGCCCTGCCTGTGTCTCTCTCGGTGTAGTTCAGTGAGTGTCTCGTGTCACGGTGTCTCTCCTCGCTGTGGCATCTAAGGCCCTCGCGCACAGGGACATTGTCTGTGTCTCCGGGGCACTGCTGTGTCATGACGACCCTGCACAGTGCTGGCACGCTGCTGCTGCCCGCAGAAGGCTTGTTAAGGGAGAGATGTGGCGAGCCTGCCCGAAACCCTCGCTCCTTGCTCCCGTGGGTGCCAGCTGGGGAAGGAGCTGGAAATGTGGCACCACGAGGTGTGAAGAAAGTGCTTTCTGTCAAGATTTGATACTGGCACTATCCTCACCGCTGTTACTGTCAGGGGATTGACACCCTATTCTGTGTTGGGCTTAATCTCTCTCTGCTCACCTCTAGCCACTGAATGGGATCTGTCAGGGGTATGGATCCTTCAGGATCTAGAAATACCCGTCCAGGCTCAGCTCTATGTGTCCAGCGCCTTGTGGTTCTGAGTGACAGTAATGTGACCAGGTTGTGGTGGCTTCAACTGCTGGCTTCACCAGGACCCACAGGAGAAGGTGACACCCTGTATGTGAGTAGGGTCAGGCCATGACATGAACTTGCTGGGGCACACTCGGGGCTGTCAATGCAAGCACATCTTTCTGACTTGTTGGGAACAGAAACCAAATACCACAGGTATTTCCAGAGGGTGCAGAGGCAGAAGGGTCTTCAGGAGACACAAGGTGTCTCCTCCACCCTGGTCCAGTGTGTCAGACGCCGGGAGCCTAGTCTTTGAGCAGTAACAGTGCTGCCACAGGGGGAGTTGGAGTTTCTCATGGTGGAATTACCTCAGGGCACTTTCATGCTCAAGCAGCCCCTGTCCTGCATGTGTGACTGGACTGCCGGTGGTGTTTCCATGTTTCACGTTTCCATGGAGTGCCATGGTGTGCTGGGGTGACAGGCAGGAGAGCCCTCAGGCTATAGGACCCCTAAACACTGATGAATGCTCCCCCCACTCCGCAGAGTCCCAGGGCTCAGCATTCCCTCAGCTTCGGTTGCAAGCCAAGGGCCAGTCATCCTTGGGTCACGCCCCCAGCTCCCCACTGACAAGCGGGTAGCTGGAACTCTTAGGCCCTGAAAGCCATTCCAAACAATCTTTTCAGTTCCTTAACTGTGTAGATGGAATGGTCTGATTTTGCCTACACTTGACAGCTTTCTCATTATGTAAAAGCTGCTAACACTTTCCCCTATCACCAACCTTTATCAGAGACTTACAAACAAAACTTAGTTGTTTCCTCTTAAGACCTTGCCTCTGATGAGGACAGGAGGTGAGTATGTGCACAGCCTCCAGGGCTGACATTACTGGGGGAAACTGAGGCATGCTGAGGGGATCACTTGGGGAGGTGCTCGAGGCTGAAGACCCAGGCTCTGGTCCCGGCTCCCAGCTACAAGTTACTAGTGCGTTCCTAACCCTCTGAGCTCAGTTTTTCCTCTGGGAAAACAGGAGATGGGTACAACAGTGCTCTGTGGTGAGTGTGCTGCTGAAATGTATGACAGAGGCTAGGTGAGCAGACAGCAGCTTCCTGTCCTTGCTTTGTGCCTAAGGAAAGCAGTAATCTCAGAGAGCAAATGCAAGTCCCGCTGCTGTAGGTGAATTTAGGGGCTCGCATTGCAGGACACGGGGAGGGGGGCAGGGCTGGCTGGGCTTTTGTTTCCTAATTGATCTAATGTGCTAAGTGAGCTTAATGTGGCTAATGAGTGATGCCTGGGTGGGAGGAATCAGCCAGGCAGAGCTCAAACAGCATCAAAGGCACACTGAGGCAGGTGTCGTCTGGGATAATTGCGGGGCGGTGGGGGCGCTGCCAGAGTGCGGGAGGCCGAGCCTCCCAGGGCCGTCCGCCAGGGTGCCACCCTCACAGCTCCGGGGTCTGCATTTCAGGTTTGCTGAGCCTTTGAAGTAGAGCTCCTGGGTCTTTCCTTGAGAATGGATTCCATTCCTTGGAAACCACTAAGCTCTCTCCCTTAGCCCAGAAAGGGGCATTAGCTGACCTGGTTTGTGCACAGTTCATAGGACACAGGGAGCTTCCCCCAGCAGACGCTCCAGAGTTGAAGGAAGCACTGGCTTTACACCCTGTGGCATGGGGGACAGGCCTGCCCTCACTGGGCGCCTCCCAGTGGCAGGCTCCATGCTGGGCTGGGGGCAGGAGACACTTAGGAAAGAAGAGGGCCCCTGACGCCGCTGCATTCCAGACACAGGTGCTCCTGCACCTACAACAGAGCTGTCCCAGTAACCCACAGCAAGCTGCAAATGTCCTAGCAGGCCACAGGGCATTCGCCAGAGAGTTACAGGCTCAGCAGCATGTGCACGGGGCCCCCTGGTTGCCCAGTGCTGTGCACCCTGCCCAGCAGCCCAGGGTGGTCAGATCCACATTACCAGCCCAGAAAGCGTCAGGACTCAACACCCGAAGAAAGGTTTCTACTGAATGAAGCTGGCTTCCACCCCACTGAAAGTCACATCACCATGAATCATTTGAGTTAGGGACCAGAGTGCGTCTCTTTGACAACATGAAAATCCTGCTTGCATGGTAGGAAATCAGGCAAAGGCCAATCAGCAAACATGTTGGGACATTTTATCCTGTCTTCCGGCTGCTGTCACCGAGGGGCACTGCCTCCCTGCACATCCCAGCTCTCCTGGGGAGGGGCCACAGATCCTTGCCATCTCCAGAGGCACAGGGTACATGGCAGTCAGCTCCTGACCCTGGCGACAAAGCCCCTTTCCAGTGGCTCTGTTAAATGTGTTTATGAAGGTTGGAAGTGGCTCTGACCTGGGAATCCCAAAGCCTCAGACCAGGCAGGAGGAGCTCTGTCTCAGGCACCTGCATGGCTTTGCGCCCCTTTATACGCTTGCTCTTGGTTGGAAAAGGTCTCCAGGTGCCTCTCAGACCTGCAGAGCAGCCGCTGGAGATCTGGGCAGGAGCTGTCCTCCTCCCCCATCACTGTCCTGGAGACCGTGTCCCCAGCCCTGGCTGGCAGGCTCTGCTGTCCTCTGGCACCAGGTCCCAGCCGGAATCCCAGCTACCCTCCAGATGCTGATCCAGGCAGCACAGCAGGGGAACACCACCCAGCACCACACCGGGGACACGGGGCTGCTCTCCCTGTAGCTGTCCCAGCACGGAAGGGACCCCGCAGTGGAAATGAAGACCTCACCCCACTGCCTCTGCTCCCCACTGTGGGGCCGTGGCATCATCTCGAGCTCTATCTGAGCTCCCTGGCTGAAGCCCCAACCCTTTCTCACATTCCCGGGGACTCAGGCTCAGGCAAACCAGAGACGTGCATTCTTCCAGCATCCCACAAATCCCACAGCCTGCAAAGCACGCACAGAGCTGGGCTCCCTAACCAAGTGTGCAATCCACAGCAAGCTGGGATTTCTGGTGCTTTCCCGAAACAAAGGAGCAGCCTAGGTCTGAGAACGGGTGGTGCACGCAGTCACTAAAGCTTGTCCGAACGCAGCAAAACATGACGTGCATTTGAAAAATGCACCTGGGCTCGTCCGCAGCCAGAGGACAGGACCCAGGCTTACCTGGTCCGCGTGCGAGGGCAGCTTCCTGGCCTGGCAGACGGCTGGCAGCGCCAGTGTGGGCCGGGCAGGGTCTCCACTGCAGAGCTCTCCCTAGCAGGTGCTCCGCGTCCCAGGGCAGCGGGTGCGGGGAACCAGGACAGCACAGCTCTGCCTCAGCCCACGGCCGCTCTGCTTTAAAGCGCGCCGGCAAATCTTCCCCACTGCTCCCTGTCCTGTCTGCAAGTTGCAAGCTCCGCCGATCTCCCGGGGCTTTCCCGCTGTAGACTCAGATGCACCACCTACAGGGCACTCGTGACACTGCAGGAGTGCCTGGCTCTGTCAGCCCGGGGCTGCGCCCACCCCACGCACCTGGCTCTCCCTGCTTCCTGCCCTGAAGGGCCAGGAATGTGAAGAAGCATTGATTTCTCCAGGAGTGTGTGTGGGGGTCGGCTTCCATCAACACAGCCAGCCTTGGGCACAGGAGCACTAAAAGCAAAATTAGCATCAAAATATCATTCGTCAGAAGTGATTCCCAAGGGACCCCCCACAGAAAAGCTACAGGCCCGGGCCCTGGGGGAGATTCTACCTCCTGACTCTAGAACCTGTGTGAGCCGTTCCCGTGCGCCTGCCCACACAATACTGTGGGCTCCCAGTCAACACCCCACTTCCTGTGCTCACATCTCACCCCAACGTCACATACTCCTGTACAGCAGGGAAACAGACCCCCACAGGACTCCAAGGAGGAGGACACACCCTACAGGACTCCAGGGAACTGTACACCCCACAGGACTCCAAGGAAGTGTACACACCCCACAGGACTCCAAGGAGGAGTACACACCCTACAGGACTCCAGGGAATTGTACACCCCACAGGACTCCAGGGAACTGTACACACC